AATAGAGGCAGATGTTTCAGTTTGACTACTGTCAAACTAACTATCAGGGGCTGGAAAAGAGGCAGATGTTTCAGTTTGACAACTATCAAACTAGCTATCAGGGGATGGAATAGAGGCAGATGTTTCAGTTTGACAACTATCAAAGTAACTATCAGGGGCTGGAATAGAGGCAGATGTTTCAGTTTGACAACTGTCAAACTAACTATCAGAGGCTGGAATAGAGGCAGATGTTGCAGTCTGACAACTGTCAAACTAGCTATCAGGGACTGGAATAGAGGCAGATGTTTCAGTTTGACAACTATCAAACTAGCTATCAGGGGATGGAATATAGGCAGATGTTTCAGTTTGACAACTATCAAACTAACTATCAGGGGCTGGAATAGAGGCAGATGTTTCGGTCTGACAACTGTCAAACTAGCTATCAGAGGATGGAGTAGAGGCAGATGTTTCCGTCTGACAACTATCAAACTAGCTATCAGGGTCTGGAGTAGAGGCAGATGTTTCAGTCTGACAACTGTCAAACTAGCTAACAGAGGCTGGAATAGAGACAGATGTTTCGGCCTGACAACTTTCAAACTAGCTATCAGGGTCTGGAATAGAGGCAGATGTTTCGGTCTGAATACTGTCAAATTAGCTATCAGGGTCTGGAATAGAGACAGATGTTTCAGTCTGACAACTATCAAACTAGCTGTCAGAGGTTGGAATAGAGGCAGATTTTTCAGTCTGAGAACTATCAAACTAGCTATCAGATGCTGGATTAGAGGCAGATGTTTCAGTCTGAGAACTATCAAACTAGCTATCAGAGACTGGAATAGAGGCAGATGTTTCGGTCTGAATACTGTCAAATTAGCTATCAGAGACTGGAATAGAGGCAGATGTTTCGGTCTGAATACTGTCAAATTAGCTATCAGAGACTGGAATAGAGGCAGATGTTTCAGTCTGACAACTATCAAACTAGCTATTAGAGGCTGGAATAGAGGTAGATGTTTCAGTCTGACAACTATCAAACTAGCTATTAGAGACTGGAATAGAGACAGATGTTTCGGTCTGACAACTATCAAATTAGCTATCAGAGACTGGAATAGAGGCAGATGTTTCAGTCTGACAACTATCAAACTAGCTATCAGAGGCTGGAATAGAGGCAGATGTTTCAGTCTGACAACTGTCAAACTAGCTATTAGAGGCTGGAATAGAGGCAGATGTTTCAGTCTGACAACTATCAAACTAGCTATTAGAGGCTGGAGTAGTGGCAGATGTTTCAGTCTGACAACTATCAAACTAGCTATCAGAGGCTAGAGTAGAGGCAGATGTTTCAGTCTGACAACTATCAAACTAGCTATTAGAGGCTGGAATAGAGGCAGATGTTTCAGTCTGACAACTATCAAACTAGCTATCAGAGGCTGGAATAGAGGCAGATGTTTCAGTCTGACAACTATCAAACTAGCTATTAGAGGCTGGAGTAGTGGCAGATGTTTCAGTCTGACAACTATCAAACTAGCTATCAGAGGCTAGAGTAGAGGCAGATGTTTCAGTCTGACAACTATCAAACTAGCTATTAGAGGCTGGAATAGAGGCAGATGTTTCAGTCTGACAACTATCAAACTAGCTATCAGAGGCTGGAATAGAGGCAGATGTTTCAGTCTGAAAACTATCAAACTAGCTATCAGAGGCTGGAATAGTGGCAGATGTTTCAGTCTGACAACTATCAAACTAGCTATTAGAGGC